TTATTTATTTATTTATTTATTTATTTAGTGTGTGGCCAGCTCAGCCCACCAGGGGGCGGGGCTGGCTGGCATGTGGTGCTGGGGGATCGAACTGCCGTCCCTGATCTTGAGCTTAGCTTGTTCTAAGTAGGTGCTTTAGACCACTGAGCCATCTCACCAGCCCCTCAAGCATTTTTTAAATAGAATTCTTTTTTATCTTTCTTCAGTGCCTGGGATTGAACCCAGGGCTTCGGCGAGCCCCCCACCACCCCAGCCAATACGACTCATTCTCATGAAGCAAATACATGTGCGTTGCCTGTGCATCTGTGAGTCCCACATGACAGTGCACACACAGCCTGAGGAGGCACTGCTGGAATCCAGTGGTGCTCCTCTCTGGCAAGGGGAAGTGCTATGTACTCCAGCAATGTGATCACTCACAAGAATACCTATTGTTCTAAAGGCAGAAAACCCAGTATTCTTTATGAGCAAAGATAAAGGGATGGGGTGGGGGGTGAGTACACAGTAGAGGCTGCGAGCACCAGGCCTAAAGCTGGGGTCTAGAAGCTCCTTCATCTCAGACAAGAGTTAGGAGGGGTAGGTCTTCATCTCTTTTTTTTTTTTGCGGAACCGGGGATTGAACTCAGGCCCTTGCGCTTGCCAGGCAAGCACTTATTCTACTGAGCTAACTCCCCAGCCCCAGCTCTTCATCTCTTTTGGAACCACTCCCAGTGGCCATCAGGACACATAGTTCACCACATACAGGGCACAGTTTTCCATCTCGAGTCCAGGCAGGCATTGAATGTCTGGGGCATCCCCACCCTCCACAGAGGTGTCTCCACTTGGGCAGGGCATTAGGACTCACCAGGAGGAAGAAGTACCACGGCTGGGGCACACCGAACTGGCCTGGGAAAACGGCCTCCACATACCAGGTCACCAGGCCATACAATACAGAGTCTAGCAGCAGCATCCCTAGAACTTGCCCAAAGCAGAAATCTTCATCCACATTGACAGGACTCAGGAGGTTTTTCCACTGGATGCCCATGCCTGGGGACATACCAGAAGATGGCCCCAATCAGGCAGAATGGAAGGGTTCAGAGACCCTGAGGCCCCATAATGGCACTTGTGTGCTTATCTGTCCTGTGTTGTTGCTGCAGAGTTTGTGTGACTGTTCCCTTTCTGACTGGGTAACAAATCTGGCAACTTCTTTCAAGTCTTTAAGAACCTAGCAAAAAGCTTATGAACTGACTAGATGAGTTTGTATTTAATATCTGATATGTATAAATATACACATACACAAATTTATGCACATATACATTGATACATATACACAAACATATGCAAATATATATAAACACATATATTCTCTCATATATACAACTTGGGAAGGGCCAGAATAAATGAATGTACATATATATATATATATATATATATATATATATATATATATATATATATATATATTTTTTTTTTTTTTTTTTTTTTTTTTTTTTTTTTTTTTTTTGTAGGGGAAGGGGAGATACCATGAATCTAACTCAGGACCTCGTGCTTGCCAAGCAGACAATTATGTTGCTGAGCTATATCCCCAACCTCATTTATATCTCCCTTAAAGCTGAGAGACACTCATAAAATTCTCTTTAGTGAAGTTCTTGGTTTGCCAACATTATAGTCCATACAGACTTGTGCCTGAGCAGTTATCCTTTGTGGACATGAAGGCCCTAGATGAAGGTAGCTGTCTCTAGCCTAGGTAAATGTTTACTTTCAAACAGTCAGAGATGTGTTTATTGTTGAAAATAAGGAAAGAAAGGAGGGTACCATATAGTTTTGGAAATGAATTTTTAAAAAGCATTTGAACACTGGAAGGATCTGCTCCTGTACAGAACCTGTATTTTATCAGCACACTACTAAACATGGAAGCACATATATTTAAAATGCTAAAGTGTGAGAAGACACTGACAAATGAAAAAGAAAAAACAAACAGTTCTAATTAAAGACAAAGCAACACTGAATGTTTCTGTGGTCACTCACCTACTTCTTTCCAGGGCCCCACTACTTTGGAAGTTACAGTAACTAGGAATTGCACGTGCTATGGTTTGAATGTGTCACCTCAAGTTCACTTGTTGGAAATGTTCCCCAATAGTAATGGAAGGGGGCTCTCAAGAATGAACCAAAAGTGGCCCTGCAGAACAGACTCTGCTCTTTCTACTCTCCTGCCCTGTGAGAAACAGCATTAAGAGTGCCTTCCTAGAGACACAGACTGCTTCATTAGACACCAAACCCGCTGGCACACTGATCTTGAACTTCCCAGCTTCCAGAACTGTGAGAAAAGTTTCTGTTCTTTATAAATTACTCAGTTTCAGGCATTCAGTGATAGCAGCATAAACAGAGCAAGATATATGCCTGGAAGAAATGAGAACGTTTGGCTGAGAAAGGAGAATATCTGGATATGGAGGGATGGAGACCATCTTACACGAGTCCAGACCAGTCCTTCAGAAGGTAGATTATATTTCATTCCTGCCAAGAGAGTCAGGATAATACTCAAAAGTCCCAGGAAGGCAGATGCTGAGCACCACCACAGGAACCAGACATATGTAGTTCCTCTCTGCTCATGAAGCCCTCGGATGAGCCTGATTGCGCTAAGTTCCTCTGCTGGACTCAGCTTAGGCAAGATGCTCTTTGGTGGTAAGAATCAGCAAGAACACTGGTGAGGACAATACTCACCTTTGGCTTCAAATTTTCCTATGAGCTGGGCTCCCATTGCCATGGCAACATTGGACAGGAGACAGGACACGAGCTTCTGGTTCAGTGTCATCCAGTTGTAATGGGGAGCCACGAAGAAGTAGGGAATGTAAGTGAAGAAGTACAGGAAGCCACCCACAGCTGCTGCCATGTTAGCTGCAGGGAGAGGGGAGCAACACAGGCCATGCTACAAACTCACTAGGGCACCTGTGCAGGTACCAGTGGTCACAGGGAGCCTGGCCCTGAGGGATTGCAGGCAGTCTGCCACTTCTTATCAGGGTGCCCCAGGATAGCACCCTGCCTGGGGTCTCCATTGCCCTCTACAGATTTCCCACCCAGCTGCCTCCTTAATGTTGCATACTTGGTTGGAACCCTAGATTCTTGTCCCAGCTCCCCTGCATATCGGGTCTCTCCAGGCAATGGATGACCTCATTCATTCATTCATTCATTCATTCATTCATTCATTCATTCATTCATTCACTCGCTCACCAGATGCTCACTGAGCACCTTGTCTGTGTCATACTGTTCAGGCAACAGCGAGATGGCTGCACATAGAACACAGCAAACACCTATTCCTGCTGCAGCCTGGTCTCCAGTGGGGAATGAAGAGGAAAGTAAAAAATAGAATGTGTTCCACAAGGACAAGGCCTGGGCACAGCAGCAAGGCACAGAATGAGAAAAGGAAGGTAAGTGACCAGGTAGGTCAAGGGACAACATTGTGTCAGTCTATGCCTACAGTGTCAGACTCTATTTTAAGACCCCCTTACACCCTTAAAAATTATTGGATACACCAAAGAGCTTTTGTTATGTGTGATAGATGGATAGATTCCATATTAACTCTGAGAAATTAGTAACAGAAAAGTTAAAGCTTTCCCCCCTTCCTTCCTCCTTTTTCCCTTTCTTTCTTCTTTTTTTGAAACAAGGTTTACTATATAGCCCACAATGGTCATAAACTCACTATTTAGCTCAGGCATATCTCAAAGTTGCACTGACCCTCTTGCTGCAGCCTTTTGAGTGATGAGATTACAGGTGAGTGCTACCACACTCAGTTTGAAAATCTGAAGTTTTAAATAATTTAAAAGAACAAGCCAGGAGTGGTGGCACATGCTTATGACCCCAGAACTCTGGAAGGAAGATGAGCTTGGGCAACTCAGTAACTGAGATTCTGGCTCAAAATAAGGGCTGGGAATACAGCTCAGTACTAAAGCCCTAGGTGCAATACCCAGTACAAAAATAAAATAACAATAAACCCACAATAAATATAAACTTTTTTTTTGAGACAGGGCCTCACTATATTGCTCAGGCTGGCCTTGAATTTGAGATCTTCCTACTTCAGCCTCCTGAGTTGCCAGCACTATAGGGGTATATACCACTATGTCTGACTCACCATAAACTTTTTTTTTTGCGGTACTGGGGATTGAACTCAGGACCCTGTGCTTGCCAGGCAAGCACTTATTTTACTGAGCTATCTTCCCAGCCCACCACCATAAACTTATTTTTTTTTTTTTAATCAAACTCAGGACCTTGCACTTGCCAGGCAAGCACTTATTCCACTGAGCTATCTCCCTGGCCCCAACCATAAACTTTTATTTTTTATTTTTATTTTTATTTTTATTTTTTTGTGGAACCGGGGATTGAACTCAGGCCCTTGTGCTTGCCAGGCAAGCGCTTATTTTACTGAGCCATCTCCCCGGCCCCATAAACTTTTAAAAATGAAAATCAAACATGTTTTCCATAATCCTGTAAAAACAACAGCATTGATTTACATTTTTGCCATGTCTGTAATATCTGACTTAATGGAGTGTGCCGGATGCGCCTAGCTGCTTCTGCATTCCTCTGCTATATCCTGTTTTTATTGAAGAATAAGAAGGAAATGTGGCTTTAGAACTCAGATGTACAGCTGGTAAAAGGAGGAATGTTATATTAGTCTTTACAGACATTCGTGGATACTCTTCTCTAACATCATATCACATGTGCAATCAAACTAACCAATGAACATGTTATACTCTGTTACATTAAAACTCTTCGGTGGGCCACAGAGATAGCTCAAGGGTCCAAAAGCCTGCCTAGGCAAGCACAAGGACCTGGGTTTGATTTCCGGTACCACCTGCAGTGCTGGCCCCACCCCAGGCACACGCCTGTAATCCCAGCGCTGGGGAGGCTGAAACAGGAGGATCACTACGAGTCCAAGCTGCGTAGTGAGACCCTCTACCAAATACATAAATATTTAAATAAATTAATTAAACCTCTTTGGTTTATCTTCCACTTTAAGCGGACCTTTGTATTTTGAATAAACTTTCAAAGGTAAAAGTTTGAGTTCAATACTATGGATCATTCCTAGAAGAGAAACAGTGTACATCTTCCAAGCCATCAGAAGTTAAAGAAGCAGAGGAAAATTTTCTTTTTCCAACAGAAGGCAGAAAAGGCAAAAAAACAGAAGTGGAGGAATAAACAGGAGACAAAACTCAGAAACAATTTCAAATGGAACTATGATCACAAGTAGATAGAATGAACGACTTCTTTTGGTTACTCTCAGCACTCAACACAGTGCCCACATCTGCCTCTTGCCGATGCCCTTTTACCAGCAGCCACTCTGACTCCTCCCTGGCCCACACCAGCGCTACGTTCTATCCTCTTTTTAGCTTCTTTCTGGGGAGAGTCAAGAACTTTGCTGTGTTTCTCTGAGCCTGTCTCTCAGCAGTCTGAGACAGCGTCCAACCCCAGCATCTCAGGTGTCCTCCACCCAAACAACCCAGTCTTTGGGTCATCACTTTTGATGTCCTTTGATTGTTAACCTTGTACGCCTCCTTCTCCCAGTTTCCCAAGACTTAAATCAGCCAGCCCACCATCCTCTCGACTCAGGGAGCAAAAGGACTCACCTTTACTGAAGAATGTGCTGACCATGAAGCTGAAGGAGATGGAGGAAACAGCAAAACACAATAGGAACACCAGCACCAGAGAGGGGTCACTTCTCGCAAGTACTGCCATATCGTTCTTTACCTGTAAGACAGGCCACCTGGTAGAGTAGTGGGTTGGAGCACCAACGGTAGAGATGGGGGGGCCAGGATATAGCTCAGTGGCACAACACCTGCCTGGCAAGTGTAAGGAGTTCAGTTCCCAGTACAAAAAAAAAAAAAAAAAAAAAAAAGGTAGAAATGGGTCAGGAGGGGTTTAAAATCCTGCTCAGGAAGACCCTGTTGGGGATAGGAGGAGCCCTTGTCTCAGCCAGTGGGAAGCCCTGCTGTCCTCTGCCCAGAAGACTTGCCCTGTGGTCAGTGGCTATGAGATACTCCATGCCAACAGCAGATCTCAGCCTGAGCCCTGGGTCTCTGGACCCTCCTTTTTTCAGAGCCCCCAATCAAAACCACACGCACCTTGACACATAAGAGGACTGTCATGAAGGAAACTGTGATGAGCAGGAGGAGGAAGAACACGAGGAACCAGGCACTCCAGTGCAGCCAGTTGCTGAGCCCCATCATGCGCATGTACTCCTGTGAGGGATGGAAGGCGTCACATCTGTGGGCCTCTGCCCGTATCTGCCCAGGGGCGCACGTTGTGTGGGTCTGTCAGTGAACCAGGATGCCTGTGGTATGGACCAGAAGTCTTTTTTTTTTAGTGGTACCAGGGATTGAACTCAGGACCCTGCGCTTGCCAGGCAGGCACTTATGTCACTGAGTTATATCCCTGCCCATGGACCAGAAGTCTTGACCAGGTAGCACAAGTGAGATGGAAGGCAGAAAGCTCTGGTCTGGCTATCACAGTAGCCCTTAACCAACAGCTCAGTCCTGCGCATGATATGAAGAATCTTCTCCTTCTTCCCTTTCCAGTCTTACAGCCACCCCATCATCTGTTAGGCAGTTCTGGGCCCCCACTCAGGACCCCTTTCTCCACATGTCATGGTGTGTCCTCTGCCCCCTACTGGGCAGTGGCCTGAGGAGCCAAAAGTGTCTCCCCACTGGGCACACTAAACCCCATCATGCCAGTACATCCCATCTTCTGTTGTACTTCTGGGAAGTATCACATGTGTACTTAGTAGGCCTTAATTAAGCTGGAAAATTCCCTCAAAGTCCTTCAGGGTTGCTCTTGTGTTCTATGGGGAAAGTCCAAGCTCCCTATATGTGTTCCTGAGTCTTATGTGCTATCAAGTCTGGTCCCTAGAAGCTCAGGTGGCTCTTTCCCTTTAGCACAAAGATCCTGCAGCAAGATCTAAGCACAGACATCAGCCTTCTGGGCTGTGAGTCATCACACCAGATCAGACTGTGGCTGTGAAGATTAGAAGCCACAGTTATTTGTTTCTTTGCCTTTGGCTATTCTGAAAGGAGGCGCCATAATCTAAGGGGCTCCTTGTCAGAAGCATAGGGTGCAATATCAGGCGTGGCTCTGACGACATCTTCCTTCTCTGCCTCAAGTCAAGCGCTTAGTGGGTGTAGTAAGGAAGCTCAGCTTCTCCATTAACCAATACTAATGGGAGTCCTGGGAATCTAATTAATTAATTATTTATTTGATACACGGTCTCACTAAGCAGTTCAGACTTGCAGTGATCCTCTTGTCTCAGCCCCCCCCCAGCCTGGGATCACAGAGATGCACCATCATACCCAGTGTTCCAGGCTAGCATGGCAGGTGGTACCAAGGATCAAACTTAGGTCCTTGCACTTGCCAGACAGGTGTTTATACTGCCAAGCTATCACCCCAGCCCTGTTATTAGTGTTCTTTAAGGCACTCAAGCAGGTCATTGACTTCCTGGCTAATTGCCAAGCTTCTTATCTGCAGCGGTTGTAAATCTCCAACTACCAGATTTAAGAATATTCTAAATGTCATTCCACTAGCACTGGGGACATTTCCAGGGGAGAAACTGCAAAGAAGTTTTGGGGGATGGTGATGTTGGTGTGAGTACAGAAGTAACACTACTGATTTGGTTGTTGCTCATCAAGTCAGGTTGTCTTCATAGTGGCACTTTGCACGTTCTGTGATTTCCCATGTTTGTGTAAGCCTGTCTCTAACTATGGCTGCCCTTGATCTGATTATTGATTATATTGATTATGTTCCTATTCCGCTAGGTAATTCAACATTTTTTCTCACTGTTAATGTAGTCTTTGGGGCTGGAGAGATGGCTCAGTGGTCTAAAGCACCTACTTGGAACAAGCTTGGCTAAAGCACAGGGACCGCGGTTCGATCCCCCAGCACCACATGCCAGCCAGCTGCGCCCCCTGGTGGGCTGAGCTGGCCACACACACCCACACACACACTAAATAAATGTTAAAAAAAAAATAAATTAAAAAAAAAATGTAGTCTTTATAGCTGCAATATGTTCAATAAAGAATGCAAGCCACATGTGTAACTTGAAGCTTGAGATTGACCACATCAAAAATGAAGAGACAAGTAAAATAATCTTAATGCTATATTCTACTTATATATCCAAAATATAATCCTTGTAGTCTGTTTTCAACATGTAAAGATGGGACTGATTATACTTCTGTAATAAGTCTTCAAAGTCAGGGCGCACTTTACACTTCTGGCACACCTCAGCTGCAACTGGGCACACTGCACATGACCAACACCCTTGAGACTCTCGCAGCACAGCTCCAGGGTCCCCTTTAGTCTCAGTGTGGAGCACATGAGCTAAGGTGCTTCACAGGGTTGTAGGAACCCACATATACCAAACCGCCTTCTAGGAAGCCAAAATGGGCTGGAGTCACCGTGAGCATCCACTTTGTGCTCTGGCTCTTGAGGAGACTCCAGCGCACAGGAAGGATGGCAGCCTTAAGACAAGGCTAGTTTTTCTGTGGGAACCTGAGACACACTACCATGGCAGCATCATTCCCAGAATCAACTTGCCAAGCTGTCACAAAGGCACACAGGAGCATTACCTTCAGTTTTCTCTCTTTCTCCTGCACCACAGCCCGGATGATGGTGAGGGACGTGTAGGTGAAGCTCAACATGAGTAGCAGGGGAAGCTGGTACTGGATGGCAACGAGGAAGGGGTCTGAGATAAATGGGGGGAATGGGAACCTCTTTGCAGTCACCGTGAGCTTCTGGAAGAGCTGGCGTGCTGAGGCGTTGGCATGGTAGTGCATGATGGCTTTGTCCACGGCATGCTGCACTGCCAGGAAGCCCTCGTGGATGTACCCTGAGTGCAGAGGCAGAGGACAGCTGTGTTGTGGGTGCTGGGCTGCATGCTAGAGAGCTGCTTATCCTGGAAGGCACCAGTGCCTCTACGAACACCCAGAGGTAAGGGTCTAAGACTTCACCTGATGCCCCTTTCTGTGGCCGCCAATGGCGTCCAGCACTGTCCAGTAGTCCCATGAAAGAAGAGAGAAAACATGCCATATACTGACAGCAAACAAGAGTAATATTATTGTCATTTCTACGTCATAATTAACATGACATAGATACAAATCACACATACAATCACATTTTAAAAAAAATCCTGATATAAACCTAGCTACAGAGACTGTGTGCCTCAATTGAGTTTCTCGGGTTTCTCATTAAAAAAAAAAAAAAAAAAAAAAAAAAAGTAGGCTAAAACACACTAGGAAATAGTACATCAAGAGTTAGCACGAAGCTGAATGTGGCAACACATGCTTATAATCCCACCACCTGGGAAGCTGAGGGAGGATTTTGTGTTCAAGGCCAATCTTATCCAATTTAAAGCCAGTCTGAGCTACATAGTGAGACCCCCATCTCAAAGCACAATAAAACAAAACACCAAGTACATAAGAAGTTAGGGGAAGTAGAAACAACAAAAAGATCTGAGGAAAGGAAGTGCACTTCCCACATGTGGTGAGAGGAGTGGGTCCTCAGTGTTGTCTCAAAGTCTGGGAGCCAAGAGACATAAGCTGACACCAGGTGGAAGGCAGCAGAGACCAGAAGTAGGCCTGGATCTTTGCAAAGTCGGAACAGAAGGCTTTGGTGAGTGGATGTTTCTTAAAACCATGGTATCTACCATCAATTCAGTAGCTAGAAACAATAGGAACCAGTTGTCTAACAGCTCAGCCAGCCAGGGAGTCCAACACTTGTGTCTCTGAATTAGAAACTCAATGTTAGGAGGGTTGTATTCCCTTTGGGACATCAGGGGAGAATCTCTCCTGAAATCTTCCTGTTTGTAGCAATCATTCATGTTCTCTGACTTATTATTCTTCCTCCTCTTTCATTTGTTCTTTCTTTTCTTTACTTTTCCTTCTTTTTTTTCTTTTTAAGATAGGGTTTTGCTATATAGTTTAGGATGGCTTTGAACTCACCACAATCCTCCTGCCTCAGACTCCCTAATGCTGAAATTATATGCATGGACCACCACACTCAGCTTCTTGTCTACTTCCTTTTTTTTTTTTTTTTTTTTTGTCTTTATGAGACAGGATCTCACTATGCAGTTTAGGCTGCCCTGAACTCACTTGGTACCCAGATTCACAACGATCCTCCTGCCTTAGCCTGCCAAGTACTGGGATTACAGATGCCACCATGCCCGGCTTCTTGTTTATTTCTAAGAACCGCAGAGATGACACTGGGTTCCATAGGACTCAACTAGTTATCACCAATTCTGCCATTTTGGTACTGGGGATTAAACCTAGTACCTCATGCATGCTAGGCAAGTATTCTATTACTGAGGTATGTCCCCAGCCCTTTTTATTTTTCTATTCGTCTCAGTAAAGTGTCCAGCTTGACCTTGAAGTTATGATCCCCCTTGTCTCAGCCTCCTGTGTGCTGGAATTTCAGGCATATGCCACATCAGGCTTGATCTTGCCATTTTAACATCAGCTGACTAGCACTCTTAATTCCATTCTGCCATGTCCCTGGACATGACCACAGGTTCCAAGGATTAGATGTGGGTGACTTGGGAGGCTGTGACTCTGTGGGCCATAACACTCCAACTGAGCTGCTGTCTCAGTGGCAGGCAGGCTGTGGCCAAGTCACTGCAAGAGCTCCAAGTGCTGTGTGACTTCTCTTTGTTTGCTCTTTTGGACACCCCAGAGGATTCTGTGCCTTCTGTCTGTCTGGGGTCAGTGTCCCAAGGAACACAGGGCCTAGGAGAAACAGCCCTAAGAAAGGGCAGGCTTGGCACCACGAGCAAAAACACAGCCTAAAGCTCTGTGAACCTCATGGATGGAGAGGGGACACAGGCTGCAGGTGTAGGTGGTGGCTAGAATGCCAAATTTCCCGACACAGAACTGTTGGCTGCCTGGGCTACAACCTTTAGAAGAAAAAAAGGCAAATGGCAACCACACCCTAAGACATAGGGAGTATATGTATATGTCTCAGGTTTTAGGGTCATTGTATTAGCAAAGGCTTAATAATAATTTTTTTTTTTTTTTTTTTTTGGTGGTACCAGGGATAAACTCAGGACCTTGCACTTGCAAGGCAAGCACTTATTCCACTGAGCTATCTCTCAGCAGCAGATGCTTAATTATAGCACCTATTAAATATGTCCAGGATGATGCAGGGTGGAGTTTTATCTTCATTTTCACATGGACTCTCACACTTCAGAGTCCTGAGTTGTTGGCATTTTTTGGATCTCCCTAGCTTGGTTCCAAGACATGTTCATGTTTCAGAGTTGGCAAACACGCACTAAGAGGGAATCAGAGAGGTCAAGAGCCAACTTTGATACAAATTACTGATTCAAGTAAACAAACTATGGTGCAATTACACACAAGGACCACAGACCTCCGGAAGTCTATACTATTAGATACAGACTTGGACACAGAGAGAGAAGAAAGTTAACAAAAAGAGTGCATACAAGCTCAGGGAGCCTAATAAACTAGAGACAAATGTGTCACTCAAGGTTATGTGTCTTAGGGGACATGCAGAGAGAGCCACGGCTCTTTTCAAAGCATATTTTTAGCCTTTTAGAAGAAGCTAGTTTCACTAAATGTTTCTTCTCCTACAAACAAGACGATAAACGTCCCTAAGAAGCATTCATGCTGAGAGGTACAAGGAAGATTCGCTCTACTGTCATTAGTCAGCAGCCTGAGGCTGGGAAGGGCCCCTAAGAGTGCTTCTCACCAGGCTCCCCACCATCAGGGGATGCAGGTTCTCTTGGTCCTGGGCTCGGGAAAAGCGGAAAAAGGGATGTGGTGTGCCAGCCCTCTGTGTCTTTCAAGAAAAAGTTGCCTGTTTGAGTCCACATGTAATTTCTCCGTGTGTAACTGAAGCGTAGGTGATATTTTACCTGTGGAAACAAAGAGAAAATAAAATGTTCTCAGGGATTCAGAGTAGACATATGGGTTTAGTGAGGGTAAGCCCCCAGGCCTCTCACCACCAAGCCCGGCACCACAAAAAACTTGCCACACCCCACCTAAAAGATGTCCCAGCAGCCTCAAAAATGTCAGTGGGAGTAGTTTCACCCAGCAGGGACAGAGAACCCCACAGGGGTATGTTTGAGGGGTTTACAGTCACTCTTCTGTGGCTATCTAGCAATACAATGAGATGGATGCACCACTGAGTACCACCTACAGATCAGTGGGGGCTCATTGGCACTGTAAGAGATGGTGTCCTAGTCTTAATTTTGTCAAGAAAGAAAACAGGTTTGAGAGAGAGAGAGTGTGTGTGTGTGTGTGTGTGTGTGTGTGTGTGTGTGTGTTACTGGTGATTGAACCCAGGGTTTTTGCATGGAGCTACATCCCCAGTGCTTCTTATTTTTATTTTGAGACTGCAGCTTACTAAGGTGCCTATCAATACTCAAATCCTCCTGTTTTAGCCTCCAAAAGTGCTGGGATTACAGGTGTGCACCACCATACCTAGCCCAAGACCAGTAATACCTTTTATGAAATGAGAGAACCAAAAGGGTATGAAATGAATGTTTATGAGAGGGTAGATTTTTTTTTTTTATACTGTCCTGGGCCAGTAGGTTAGCATGTTACCAGGCTTCCTTATGTGGGGACAGAGTGGTGATACAGGACCTAGAAAAAACTCTGTTTGTTCCCATGCAGGCAGGGTCTACAGAAAAGCAACTTCATTTGTAGATGGAGTTAACTACAAAGTGGCTGTACTCACCGTCAGTGGCAGGGGCTCTTTGCTGTGGTTGGAGATGTTCTCAAACACCACAGCAGCCAGTACGTTGGAGGAGTGGTTGTCATACCGAATGTAGTCCTCGAAGTCCTTCTCAGAGGGAAAGCCGTGCACTATGAACCAAGCATTGCAGCTGTGAATTTTCCAACCATTTCTACCCCTTGGAAACCTTGGGATGTCAGGCCACTTGAGGTAAAAAGACAGTATACTGACAAGACTCTCTGAGGCTCTATAAGTGGCTTTGACCTTGGCAGAGAGATATACTGTTGTAGATGGGCAGAACCAACAGTAAGGCCAGGTCCTGGACTTCTGCCATGGTTTAGAGCTGGGCTGGACACAAACTGGCAGCAAGGTGGAGTCACAAAAAATAAAAACCCTGTAAGTGACCTGGATTGGGGTCTGCAGCCATAGATAGCTTTTCTCTCTCATAACTATCATGACATGTTTTAAAAATTGGAGTGGATACGAATTCTAATGATTTTTATGTCCCTTCAGTTCTATTTTACTTAAAGAGCTTTATAGCAATTATTTAGTAGGGGCTAGGGAATACCCACTACCTCCTGCTACACTGAGCTTAACAAGCCACAGGAGGTATATAGCAACAGGAAGAGGAACAACAGTTTTATCTTAAGAGGAAAGATCTAGAAACAATGGCCAATATGTTTCCTGACATTTCCCTCAACTCCCTCTCATTTCCTTTTTGGGTTTTTTGTTGGATGGAAAGAAGTTTGAGATAGGATCTCACTATGTAGTCGAGGCTGACCTTGAATTCATTACATATAGCCCAGGGGAATCTTGAACTTGAAGTGATCCTCCTGCTTCAGCCTCCTGCATGCTGGGATTACAGGCATTGCTACCATGACAAACTTTCTTTTGTACTGGGGATAGAATACAGAGCATTCACACTATCCTATACACCCAACCCTTTACTCTTTTTATTTCTGAGACAGGATCTTGCTAGGTCATTAAGTTCCCCAGGGTGAGCCTGAATCTCAGCTCCCAGACATGGAGTTCATTTTTTTTTTAAATGTATTTAGTACAGGGTCTACAGGGTCTCACTACACAGATGCGACTTGTAATCATCCTTCCTGTTTTTCAGCCTCCCAAGCGTTGGGATTACAGGCTTGCACCACCACGCCCAGTCTCAATCACCCCCTCAGCACGCCCTGGAAGTGGGGCTGGCACCGCAGGTCGGGGATCGAACCCCTAGCCACTGCATCTGCCTAAGCAGGCACTTTAATCTGCTGAGCTATCTGGCTGGCTCCACCACCACGTTCAGTTCTAATGACTTGTTTTAAACCTGCCCTCCAAAATCATATCTCAGGAAAGACTCTTTGTGTTATCTACTAAAACTATGCTATGCTCTTGTAATTAAAGTGCTTTCTTTGGCTGAGTCTACTCAACTATCCTTTATCTACTGCCAGCTGTGGCTACCGACCCTGATATGGCTAACGTATGCCATATATGCTACTTTGTTAGGCCTCTCTGCTCTGGACAGATAGGTAGCCAGACTCTGAGCTCCATTTTTATAATGAGACATGGACAAAAGGGAGTCGAGGGATTCATCAGCTGGCACGGTCAACAAAAGGAGAAATGCTGTAGTCTTAGGCCACAGGGGTTTTTGTTCTGTTTTGTGTTCTGGCAGTATCAGTGACTGAACTCAGCTCCTTCCCAGTGAGCTACATCCCCAGGCCTTTTTAATTTTTCATCTTTTTGAGACAGGGTTTTATTATGCAGTTTAAGCTAGTCTTTGTCTCTCTCTCTCTCTCTCTCTCTCTCTCTCTCTCTCCCTCCCTTCCTCCCTCCCTCCCTCCCTCCCTCCCTCTCTCTCAACGGAACTGGGGATTGAACTCAGGCCTTATTCTACTGAGCTATCTCCCTGGCCCCTAGGCTAGTCTTGAACTCACTTTGTAGCCCAGGCTGGCCTCAAACTCACAACAATACCCTGCCTCCATCTCCTGAATGCTGGGATTACAGGCATGAATCACCACACTTGTCTTAATTTTTAAAATTTTTATTTTGAGACTTGGCCTTTTAAGTCATTAAATTGCCTAGGCTGGGCTCAAATTTACAGTTCTCCTGTCTCAGCTTCCCAGGATTCTGCAATTACACTTGTGTACTACCACATCAGGCTAAGCTATGCTCTTAAACCAGCTCTTTCCTGCATCCTGGGGCCTCAATTCCACGCACACAGCCTAAGACAACAGTATCAGCACAAGCCAAACCTGTAGCCACCAGAACCCCTCCTTATTTCCCCACACCTCGTGTGGTCTCACCTCTCATGTTGATCACCAGTGCCCCTCTCACTGACTCTGTGATGGTTTTTGCAGCAGCACTGTGGGAAGGGATGTAGGCCAGCTCCCAGGTCCCCCCTGGCGGAGGGAACGTGAAGAACAGGGGCAGGTCCTGGATGTTCTGGTCAGGGTAGACAGTGGCATTGGGCACATTTTCTGATTGAATCGTCAAGCGAAGCCAAATCAGGATCCCAGAAAACAGCAGGGGTAGAAAGAGTTCCAGGACTGTCACAAGGACCTTCCTCTTCTATAAGACAAATGACCATTGTTACTGATGGTGTGCTTCTCCTTTCAGGATGTTCCCCCAAATTTCTATATCAGCCAAATTCTACAGCCACCCATCCTTTGGGGCTGGACCCACCTGCAAAGTGTAGTTCTTCCACAGAAGAAGCACCAGTTGCCGTAGCACCGCCATTCTGTCACCAGCAGAGATGTCCAGCACTAGCCACGGGCCAAAGATCAAAAGTTTGGATATGCAATGAAAACGTAGTCATGGGTGTCTGGTGAACAGCTGCAAACCCTCTTCCTCCATGTGTTTCACTTTTTCTGCCACCTGAACTCCAAACTCCCGGAAAGAAAGGCACACGACTTTCTGCCACACTAACAACCCAGTAACTCCATTCTGCCTCTCTGAAGAGCATGAGCTCTTTTGGAAGACTCTTTTTCAGCAACATGCTGTTCATGTAAACTATGACTGCTATAGTGGCATTTATCATCTGAGCAATCCTATTTAGAAGTTCTCTGTAGAAAACATGCACCTGCTATTTATCAGCAAATAGCTTCATGGAATTTCCCTCCCTGACTAGCTTTACTTCCACCCAACACAGAACTCGGAAAAGAGAATTCAACTTACTATCCTGGTGTGACTGATATCTAACATCTGGCCCAAGATGGACCTGTCCCCCAGGAGCAGGTCAAGGAAGGCAGATAATACGATGATCAGTCATCTTCTCTTGGGTTGCATTTAAGGATCAGATTTCCTGTTGTTATTACAAATATTGGAATCTGATCCTCCACTACATAAGAATAGGCAGTTTTCCATTTACTACTTGTCCAAAGAAAATGTACCAAGAAAAAAAATCTATCCTGCATTACATACAATTTTGGGGGAGTACTTGGAGATTGAACTCAGAGCCTTTGCCCTGAGGTATATCCCCAACTCTTTTTAATTTTTTATTTTGAGGCAGGGTTTCAATAAGTCACTAAGTTGCCTAGTCTAGGCTCAAACTTGTGATCCTGCCTCAGTTTCCCAGAGTGCTCAGATTACAGCCACACACACGTGCTTACATATAATATTTGAATTCAGCACATAAAACTGGGGGGAAAGTCTGTCATGATATTATCAAATACAAGCAATAGCAGAAAGAAGAGCTTAGATTTATAGAGATACCAGTCACATTTTATAAACCCATTTGACTAAATTTCAAATATAAAAACACATTAGCTGCCAACCTGTTTGAGAAGTAAGTGGTCTAAGTTAGCTCAGGTAGAGTCCACAATGCTTAGGATGAGAAGGACTGCATTCCAAAAGCTGAGGGTACAAAGGCCAAGCACACAGACCTACGAGGGAGGGAAGGCATACTAGCCACAGGAACTCCTGGTCTTTATCCAGCACTGAGAGCTGCAGGCAAACAGAGAGGAACACTTCCCATCCCGGCACTCTCCAAATGAGGAAAAGCCTCGTGACTCATGGTGGGGTAGTTTTAAATTCAGTTAATCAGCTCCATCTTAAAGGTTAATACTAACCAAACACCACCCACCAGTCAGGTTAGGACAGTAGAGTATAGTTAGTGAATAATTCATTAAATGAACTAACACCACTATCAGCATGACTTCCTACAGCTATGGGGCACAGGGTAAGGGGCTATTATTATATTTTTAAACTATCTGTTTTATTTTGGGCTTTAGTCAGTTCAAAATAATTTTCACTAAGGCCCGTGCCTACACTACTTTCTCTTACTCTCTCTCTTTCTCTTGTTAATACTGAAACTCTTTTCTTTTTCTTTTTTTTTTCAGAACTGGGAATTGAACTCAGGCCCTTGCACTTGCCAGGAAAGTGCTTATTCTATTCTTATTCACCCCAGCCCCTCTTTCCTTATTTTTATTTATTTATTTATGTGTGTGTGTGTGTGTGTGTGTGTGTGTGTGTGTGTGTGTGCGTGGCCAGCTCAGCACACCAGGGGCGGGGCTGGCTGGCATGTGGTGCTGGGGGATTGAACCACGGTCCCTGTGATTTGCTAAGCTTGTTCTAAGTAGGTGCTTTAGACCACTGAGCCATCTCACCAGCCCCTTTCCTTATTTTTATTAAGCTGCTGATAATCTAATACTACTCAGGATGTTTGCTTTCAAGGGTAATCAAGAAGTTAATTACAAATTAAGGTATGATTTTTATTAGCCATATGGTTAACATGTAAAAAAAAAAAACTGAAACAGTGTGAAGTTCTATTAAGTGACAACTTAATAAGTTATCCCAACTCTTTAAAAAAAAATCAGTAAAGGCTGGTATGTGGCTCAATGGCAGAGTATTCACCTAGCATGTGTGAGGGCTTGGACTCTACTTCTAGCTCCAAGTAATAAACAAATAAATAAAATTAATAAGGTGGAAAAACCATCTTAAAATCACTGGAAATTAATAAAGGAGCATTGACTTACTAACACACTAATCTTGTGGTATGTGAAAGGTTTCCAGAAGTGGTTTAGGTGAGAAAGGAATGGAGTGCTTCTAGTCAAAGCCAACTCAGATAGGCATCTGCTATTGCTAAGATGACCTTTTTTTCCCCTCCAAAACAGAAATATAAAAATGTGACAGTTTGATTAGAGAAGTAGCTTCCTTTTCAGGAAGTCTGACCAAGAAAGGAAACATCCCCATCCTCACTTGTACCCCTCCAGGGCCATGCAGGATCAACTGTCCACTCTCTTACTCCCCAACTTACATGAGTCCCAGGTGAGACTGGCAACGGGTCCTCCTTGGGGCTACGGGCAAACTGGCCAGGTGAGGGTGGCGCTGCACAGAAGGCTGCAGGGTAGGGCCAGCAAACCTCTGGAGTGCAACAGAGAGGTCTTGGGGTACAGGAGTGCTGAGGCCTCGAGGAACATCAGGAGGGACCTGCGGCTCACAGGCATGACTTTCTGGCACCTTCAGGTAGATGGGGGGTGCTTGAGCATAAATGGAAAAATAATTACAAAACACCTCTTACCGAGTTAGAAAGTAAGAGAGCAAAATGGATTGCAAATAGATTACTTAAGATAGCAGATCTACAAAGAGCACACAGGCTGGGGTTGTCCTTGGTTCTTTCCTTGTACATGAAGACAAGAAATTTGTATATTCTAGACTTTTACATTCATTACCTCCACATTTTAGCGGCCTTTAATATAGTTCTAGATTCTGCTAACATCACACTTGATGGATAAAAAGAAAAGCTGCAGAGTTCGTTCAGGCTTGACCTGCTTTAATCTACAAGTCTATGCTCTCAGCCACTGTGTATCTAGTCCTCTATCCTGTGTAGAGACAGTGAACATCTTTCTTATATTTTTACATATCACTCCCAGAATGCAAGATTAGAGAGCAATAGGAAAAAATATCCCTCAGCCTCACTACCTCTACAGAGATTGATTGATTGATTGACTAATTGATTTTGTGGTACCAGGGATCAAACTCAGGACCATGCACTTGCCAAGCAAGCACTTATTCCACTGAGATATCTCCCCATGTGTGTGTGTGTGTGTGTTTTAATGTATTTAGTATAGGGTCTACAGGGTCTCACTACACAGATCAGACCCATAGTAATTCTCCTGTTTTCAGCTTCCCAAGCACTGGGATTACAGGCACATGCCACCACCCCCAGTCTCAATTGCCATCTCAGTGCACCCCAGGGGGTGGGGCCAGCACACCACATGGGAGATCAAACCCTGGTCCCTGAGCCTGCCTAAGCAGGCGCTTTAGTCCACTGAGCTATCTGGCCCGCCTTCTACAGAGATTTTATGTGCTCTGGTGTAACCTAGCACCTTGCTTGTTGCTTTGTCCTTGCTGGGCCTCAACTAAGTCTCAGGGATTCATCTAGTCTCAGTGAGTTACATTTGTATATGTTCTGTCTGAGGGAAGGATTTTTTTTTTTTTGGTCTTTTTTGAGATAGGGTTTCATTATGTAATTCACTGACCTTGAACTCACTTTGTAGCCCAACCTGGCCTCAAACTCATGGCAGTCCTCCTGCCTCAGCCTCCCAAGTGCTGAGATCAGAGGTGTGAACCACCACGGGCAAAGGAATTTAAATGAGAACCTGCAGTTCCAAAATCTGGAAAGTTCTCTGGTTGTGAAATCCAATGTACACAAGAGAAGGAAGTTAAAGTTTCTTAAAACACTCAACACTGGTGGCAGAGAGTCCCCAGAAGTGGCGATGGCTGAGATCCAGAGCTAGCCCAGGGGCCCCAGCAGCTACTTTAAGGCAAATAGAGATTTGTCCACTTGCAATATGAAGCTGCCAAAAGTGTGCTCAGAACATCTCACTGAAGAGGTCTTACCTCACTCCTTTTGGGGACATAATCAGGAAGAGGAAGGCAGAACTTCCCTCAGATTCCACACTAAAAAGCTTGCTTACTGTTAAAATATTGAACATTACACAAGGCGTTGAGCATTTCAATGTTTGCTTTTTAGGTGGAACTATGGAATGGGTGTAGAGTGAGTGCATAATGTGGGCTCCTAATCTCTAAGAACTCTTTTGGTGGCATACAGGACTTCTCTCAAAATGATCTTTCCTATCAGTGTGGGAGGTATGGGTGGCGCCAGGGCATGAGCACACCAGGTGTTTTGCTCAGCAGCAAACTGGAGGAATTCCAAACCTCCCTCTCTCTCTCTCTCTCTCTCTCTCTCTCTCTCTCTCTCTCTCTCTGATTTGTCTCCTATGGGTTTTAATTTGCCATCCTTTCCTTCCCTCCCTCTGAAATGCAGAAGATTGAACCCAGGGCCTCACACATGCAAATACTCTGTCGCTAAGTTATACCCCCAGCACTGCCATTTAATTTTCACGATCCCATTCAAATGAGTTCTTATGTCTGTATGCATGGCAAGCACTGTCAATGCATCTAGAGATGTGGTTATGACAATGGCAGTGGGAGGTGGGGCTCCAGACCAATCCACAGAAATGTACAGGGTCCCAGTACAGGATATGCAGGCCAACTTGCCATTTGCTCCTACAGTATGCTCCACGTAGGCGTACCTTGAGGAAACAGCCAGCCTCTATAAAGGCATGGCCAGATCTCCTAAATTTTCCAAATACAGTCAAGGACCATAGCACTGCTCATTTTACTACAGGTGTGCAAGCCCAAGGTGCTCTTGTGGGCAGCACTGGCCATGCTCAGTGCTTTTCCTCCAGGGCAAGATCCCACCCTGCCCTGCTTGAAATGCTTTAGGACATGGGGAACCCAAAATAGTCAGCTAGGAGAAAAGGTCTGCATGTGCACCTACTGAAGAAAGTACAATAAGTACTTAATTAACATTTCCTGGTGGCTTCTGTGGCCTTTATGATACACTAGACAAAAAGCATCTATTCACTCAACAACATTTGCCAAGTGTTTATGTGTGATGGGCACTAGTACTATGTGCTACTGAAAATGATAATGTTCTCAATTCAAGAACACAGTCTAGAGAAGCTTGTATGTCTTATAAGTGCTGTAATTGAAGCTAGAATAGTATCACAAGGTTCTGAGAAGACAGAGAGACAGGCAGGCAGAGAGAGACTAGTCTTGAGTGGAGAGGGCATGACAGGATCAAGGAGAAGCCAAAGGGTATGTGTGGGAAATAGTCAAAAAAAAAAAAAAAAAAAAGAAAGAAAAAGAAAAGTTGGCCAGGCTTGGTGGCGCACACCTATAATCCAGCACTCAGTTTTCACTTTGCTCTGAAAACTGCACATGGACATGGTGGGGGCGGCAGTAGTGGGGAAAGAACCAGAATATAAAGCAGGCAGGGTGTGGTGGTACATGCCTGTAATTCCAGCATTTGGGAGGCTGAAGCAGGAGGATTACTGTCTGAGAGCAGCCTGGGCTCCAAAGTGAGCTCAAGGCAAGCCTGAACTGCATAGTGACAACCTGTCTCAAAAAAAAAAAAAAGAAAAAAAGAAAAAAAGAAAAGAAAAAGAAAAAGAAAAAGGAAAGAAAGAAAGAAAATAAACCCCAGCAGACCCAGTTTCATGTCATCACAGGCAAGTGCCCATGTTAAATGATGCTGGAGGCTGTGCAGCTTTGTTCAGATTTTTACCCAGTACATGGTCTTTTGGAGAGCGGGTAGGTGCACACAGGAAATATTTGAAAATGTTTGATTTGATGGCCAAACAAATGAAAAGCTCAAATACCGATAAATACTGTAAAAGGAGGGGGAGTGCTGAAAGGAGCAAGCACATTTATAAAGTATGGTTCCTGTCCCTTAGTCCTACTAGTGGTCTCTATCTAGTGTGAAACAGTATATGACTGATAGAGAAATTCTATTTCTAAGTATTTTTCTTTAAAAATGAGACAAGAGGAATACTCATTTCTGACAGGACTAAACAAAAAAAGGCGATACAAAGGAAGGTCCATTTTGTATCTGTATACTTTTTTTTTTTTTTTTTTTTTTTTTTTTTTTTTTGGTATTTTAGTACAGGGTCTACAGGGGCACACTACATAGATCGGACTCATAGTGATCCTCCTATTTTCAGCCTCCGAACTGGGATTACAGGTGCGCGCCACCATGCCCAGTCTCAATTGCTGTTTCACGGGGCCTGCCCCTTAACTCAGTTTTTTAAGTGGCTGCTTCAACAAAGCAGTCAGGCTCAGGTTGCTGTGGTTCAATCCCCACAACTCAAGCCAGCCAATCATGCCCTGAAGGCATTCGGAGCAAAAAAAACAAACAAACAACCCTCCCCCACCCAATTGCTGTTTCAGTGCGCCACAGGGGTGGGACCTGCATGGCACACCACTCAGGGGATTGAACCCTGATCTCTGCGTCTGCCTAAGCAGACACTTTAATCTGATGAGCTATCTGGCCAGCCCTAAGACCTCCTTTTTAATGACAGTAGTAATGTGTATTTTTTTTTTTTTTTCTTTTCAACAAACGCAAATTGTTTCTTCAAGGAAAAGGCAACAATGGTGCTGTGGCTTTTTGAAATAATCAGTGCCAAGAACAAAGCAATTTATGAGCATGTGTTATGCTGGACATGTCTTGTGGTATGGGATCCAAGTATCTCCCAATGATCTATCCAGGGCCCCAGTTTGGCTATAAGGGGATGTGGGGAAACTTAAAAGACATGGAGCACACTGGGAGATCTTCCCGTCACGAGGACATCCACTTGGAGGGCAGAGTGGGATTCTAGCCACCTTCTGTTTCTCTCTTGCTTCCTGGCCATGAGGTGAGCAGCTGTTCCCCAGGGTCTCCCTATCACGATGTATAGTGCCAAAAGCAATGCGGCAACTGATCACGGACTGAAACCTCTACAACTGGAGCCAAAACAAACCTTTACTCTTTATAAGTTTACTTATTTCAGATATTTGTTACAATAGCAGGAACATGAGTAATATATTGCCTAACACAAGATGTTTTAATCTCTCCCCTCAGCTCCTTCTATCTTGCCTGCTAAGATGTCAGCAGCTTTTCCTCTACCCAGGGCCTTCTACCATACATACTTTCCTGTACTGGAGCCAGCTGACCATGGACTGAAAGCTCTAAAAAAAAAATATGAGTCAAAATTAATCTTTCTTCGGATATTTGTCCTAGCAATGGAGAAAGTGACTAAGACACCAGTGATGCTACTAGAGTGCCATCTACGTATGCAGAATCTCACTTTCTCTGATAGCCTCAACACACATACAAGCCCCAATTCATCACAGCCTTTTATAGGTGGTGAATGGGATTGAAAAACAAATAATACTCTGACCCTAAGTATAGTCTATGTGTTTCTGTGAGGCTTATTATGTTTACCTGTAAATGCTACAAGAATTGTGAACTGAAATAAACAGAACTTCTATCTAGGCATGGTAGCCCCAGCTATTTGGGAGGCTGAGGAAGGAAGATCACCAAAATTAAAGCCAGCCTGGACAATGCAGTGAGACTTTTTTTTTTTTCCCCAATTTTCTTTTTAATGTATGTGGTACAAGGTCTCACTATGAGCACAAACTCGTCGTGATCCTCCTGTTTTCAGCCTCCCCAATGCTGGGATGACAGGTATGTGCCACCACGCCTGGTCTAGGTGGTCGGCTTAGTGGAGCCGGAATGGTATGTGGTGTTGGGGATCAAACCCTGGTCCCTGCACTTGCCTAAGCAGGCACTTAGTTCACTGAGCTATCTCGCTGGCCTCTTAGTGAGATATTTTATCAAAAATAAAATCTTTAGGGGCTGGAGAGATGGCTCAGTGGTCTAAAGCACCTACTTGAAACAAGCTTGGCAAAGCACAGGGACCGCGGTTCAATCCTCCAGCTCCACATGCCAGCCAGCCCCGCCCCCTGGTGGGCTGAGCTGGCCACACACACACACACAATAAATAAATGTAATAAATAAAAATAAATAAATATTTAAAAAAAAATAAATAAAATCTTTAAAAGGGCTGGGGATGTAGCTCAGTGGTAGAGCACTGGTCCAGCATATACAAGGCCTGGAGTTCAATCCCCACTATCACAAAAATTAAATAATTGCAGTAAGTTCTTGACTCACAAAACATTCAAGTTACAAACTTTCACAAATACAAACAAATCTTGCTTTATGAACACATGTAGATAGAAATAGTGAATGTAGCTCAGGTCTGCCAGACATTGTCAGTTATGCTGCTGTGTATTTACTTTAGTGTGATAGTGTACAATATCTTTGTGTGTGGGTTTTTTATGTTTTATACTATAGATCTGTGTCAAAGGTAAGTAAGACTCACTTTGTTAAACTTACCGATGAATCTGACTTACAGTCTCCCTGACTAGAATTCAGTTGTAAGTCAGGGATTTACTGTGATCTTTAAAAGCCAAAATTTAGATTCAGGCTTTCAAATGCTGGAATTTAAGTTTCACTAAGAGTTTATAAAGAGGGTAGAGCTGATCGCATGGCTTTCATTTTAAAAAGCATGCTTATGACAAATATTTGTACCAGTAATGTACTGAAAAAAATTAATCATGTTTACTTTGCCTTTCATCTCTTTAAAAAGCCCTTATTGTATATATTTCTATGTCTGTAGTTTTAGGACAATAGCATATGGCTATAATTTATAATTAAAAAGTAACATAAGGGAGTACACAAATTCTTTTGCACAGTAGTGCACAAGAAAACATGTTGAGCACATCTTGTTTACACAGTGGCCCTTGCAATAATGAAGAAGGTAGAAATCTACAAGTCCCAGTCACTGTCCTTGAGCTCCAGGAGGCCAGGTGGGAGGCTGGTGACCTGTTTTGCAGTTGAAGCAGAGGCCCAGATCTCTGGGGTGTCCTTACTACCACCTCCATCCAGGGCTGGAGGTGGCAGCATCTCTAGGCTCTGGTAAGATCTTGGTAGAGGTGAGCAATGTATACTGTAAACCAAAGAGGACTCTTGGGAAAGAGTGCCACAATAGCTACATTGCTGCCCACTTCCCTTACCCTTGCTGTAACCTTGGTCCCATTCCTGACCAGCAAACCTTCCTGCCTTCCTAGGTGTAGGAAATGAGACAATGAGGCATCAAGAACCCCTGGAGAGAGGTAACTATGGATGTGCTATAACAAGCATGGCAGCAAGTACCTTATTACAGTGCTTATCTCCCTGATGTCTTGAGGGAAAAGGGCACAACCAGCAAGGAAACACTAAGAGGCCTTTCTTTTTCCAAAGACTGCGGTTTCCAGCACTCTATCTGCTCGAATATCACCCGACATATCTTGATCTACCTGTCAAAACCTGTCTATTATCTGGTTTCCTGTAAAACACTCTTGATAAGCCTAGTGTATGTGTTATTTATCTTGGTGGCACAAGAGAATCTTCTGGGATGTTTTCAGACAGAACACAACTCTAATGCCAACCTTCAGAGATTCTGAGCTCTGGACTATGCCTGGAAATGTTTCCCTGGCCAGTTTCAATTGTGTAGCATGGGTTCAGATCTGTACCTGTTAAAGCCAACTTTACTCTACCTCTGAGACCTGTGGCACCTTCTCTCTCTCTCTCTCTCTCTCTCTCTCTCTCTCTCTCTCTCTCTCTCTCTCTTTTTGTGGAACCCAGGACTGAACTCAGGCCCTTGCACTTGCCAGGGAAGCACTTAGTCCACTGAGCTATCTCCCTGGCCCCCTGTGGTATCTTTTCTGAACATGTCCTGTGATACTTCTCTCATTCTGCCTTATGTCACAGTTAAGAATAAATCATCTTTTAAGCTCCACTGTAAGGTCCTCAAGAGGAAGAGCCATGTCCAATTATTTTTTATTATCCAGAGCTTTGCCCATTAAAGCCCGTGATGGGCAGACCTCAGAGTTCTAGAATGTTGCCCCTGTGTAGACTCCTACTGGAGGAGGCCCCGGCCATTGCAGGAAACAGGGATGGAGAAGAAATTGAAAACTTGATGACTGCTCTGGGCCTTCCCACGTTCCCATGAGACTGCCTCACATGGCTGGGGAAGGCAAGTGGCTTATGGAAAAACAACAGCTACCCACTCCCGCTCTAAAAGGTTGTCTCATGAGAATGGTGGAAGATCACCTTAGAGAGGGAAAGACGGCATTGCTGTCAGCTACAGTGAGGGCTGAATTAAAAAAAAAAAAAAAATCACCAAAAAAGTTAAAAAAGAAAAAAGCATGAGTGGGAGAGATTTCCATGGCTTCCGTTTTTAATTTTTTCCCCTTTTTCTCGCATTTCCCATTAAGCTTTCTAATACACGATCTTAGTCTTTTTGAATTTACCAACGGCAGCACCAAAACTTGCTGAATAAAATGATAGGGTTGCTCAGAAGAGTGGAATTCAAGCCCTTAAGCCCTGCCTGGGTTTCCACACTGGTACTAGGTCTCCACTACTAGGCCCTCTGCTACAGGGCCTCGGCCATAGACTCCAGGATTTCCTGAGGGTCTGTTACAGAAGTACAAACACCCTCAAGGTGCATCTACGCTTCGCAAAGGTCCTAGACCTGGAGGGAAGGGGCAGGTAGAAGAAATACGCTCAATACCCAGTTCTAGCCATGCAGCGCGCCGGCAAGCGGCCGGCGCTCACGCCCGCAGCGCAGCCAGGAGCACCTGCCCAGGCGGAAAGCAGCGGCGCACGCAGGCGCGCGGCCCGGCACCTGCGCTACGGCTCCCGCCCGGCAGGGCAGCCGCGCACACCCGCGGCTCCCGCCCTCCCCCGTATGCACAGGCGTCGCCAGCCCACACCCCTGACTCGGAACCCCCCAGGTGCCCCTCTTCTAAGGCTGTCTGAAATGGAATGAGGTGGGTGGGAGCGAGCGGACCCGGATGCCGCACGCGGCACAGCCGGCTAGCAGCGCGTGGCGGGCCTGGTCCGCCGCAGCCCGGGGCGCGACAAGCGCTGGGCAGGCTCTCTGTCCACCCGCTCGGGGCCACACAGAGGCCTCCGTGGGAGACCCAGCACCGCACAGCGGAGACACGCCCAGAGCTGCGGCACCACGGGGACAGGTCGGGGCAAGGTTCTTGGCCGACGCGGCGGGGCAGCGGCCAGCCGTCGAGGGTGGGGCGTGGGAGCGAAGCCCAGAAGCCTAGTGGCGAGTCCCAGAGGTACTCACCAAGCCTCAGCGCCGGGGCGACAGGGGCTGGCGCTTGGCCCTCTTGCGGGGTCCCTTTCCTCAGCCTCGTGGTTCCGCTCCAGATTAGCAGGGGCAGCGGCAGCAATGACAAGTGCGAGGCCGCCCTGCGGGGCGGGGGCTCCTGTGACCGGCGACCGCAGACCGGCGCGCCCCGCAGCTCCGACTCACGCAGGGGAAGCGCCGGCTCGCGCGTGCGCGCTGGGCGGGCCCTGCAGGTGCCGGGCCACCGGCGGCGTTCTCCACCGCCCCAGCCCTCTGAAACCTGAGCTTGCGTACTGCCCGGCTCACGTCGCCCTCCTCCAGCAGAGGGCGCCACGATTCTGTGCGCGCATCGAGCCAATTCCGCCAAGCCTCTGGGGCTCAACACCTGCGCGGGTTTTCCGGCATCTGTCGTCGTATAGGTCTGGCGGAGTGTGCGACATATAGCGCGTGCGCCACCTGCCACCTCACCCCTGCAGATTACGTGTCTAGGCCAGTGGTGGCGAACCGATGCCACATATGCCGCAGTGGACACGCGGAGCCCTCTCTAACGGCACATGAACCAAGTAAACCTGAACAATTAGGTTTAATTGCAGTGTTGGCACTTCTCAATAAATAACTGGGTCTGGTGTTACAGTTAACAAGGTTTGCTGTCCCAGGCCTAGGCGATGCCATATATAGCTTATGAATCCGGCGGGTGAGGGGGTGGGTGTGTGTGTGTGCCGTGCTACGCGTGCGCAGTGCGTTGCCCCCTTCTGGTTTCGAGGTTGTCTGCGCTACCGCTGTGTGCCCGGTGTCTACTTTTAGCAGGGGCATGAGGCTGTGATTCTGCGTGTTGGGTAGATAAGCATCATTTTGGAACTGATAGCATCATTTTGTTTGTTTGGGTTTTTGTTTTGTTTTGGTTTGGTTTTTTGTTTGGAGTAACATGTAAGCCAAACAATTTATTCATCAGGGCTGCGTTATTATAATCAGAGCTCTTTTTCAGGGAAGAGGTCTATCAAAATTGTGGTATGACAGAGGCTAAGGCAGAAGGATGGCAAATCTGAACCCAACCTGGGCAACTTAGTGATTTAGTGAGGCTCTATCTCAAAATAAAAAGCCCTGGGTTTAATCTCTAATCCCTAGCATTGGGGGGAAAAGTAGTAGGCACATTGGGAGTAGCACATAATGCACAGAATCAATATAGAGAAGATTTTTGGTCTGCAGTAAGCAAACAGTGACCCTAAGCTAAATCTACCCCAGTACCACTTTTTTTTGGAGGGGCAGGGTCTCACTACAGATAGCATCATTTTGGTTATATGAGTTTAAAGTAGTTGCACGGGGAGTTCACTTTCAATGGCTAATTTTCCTTTCTACACTTTCTTTCTTTTTTTTTTTTTTTTTTTTTTTTGATACCAGGGATTGAACTCAGGACCTTGTGCTTGTCAGGCAGGCAATTGAGCTATCTCCCC